ACAAGTGCCCCATCTGCCCCATGGCCTTCAAGTCTGCGCCCAGCGCCCATGCCCACCTCTACTCCCAGCATCCCAGCTTCCTCACCCAGCAAGCCAAGTGAGACCTGGGAGGGAACAGGAGGAGGAGGGGTGGGCTGGAGGGCAGGGTGCAGGGTGGGGCTCTGCTGTCCCGCCATGGTGGCTGACACCGACTTTGTGCCTCCACAGGCTGATCTATAAGTGTGCCATGTGTGACACGGTCTTCACTCACAAACCGCTTCTCTCCTCACACTTCGACCAGCACCTGCTGCCCCAGCGTGTCAGCGTCTTTAAGTGTCCATCTTGTCCTCTGCTTTTTGCCCAGAAAAGGACCATGCTGGAACATCTCAAGGTACAGAGCAGCAAAGGCCTGGGGACGGGGCACTTAGCGAGCCGTGTGGCCTGAACTAGGGTCACACAAGCCTCCGGCCGTGGGCAGCAGGGAGCAGTGAGGACTCGGGCCAGGCCGGGCTCTCCTCCAGTAGCCGCTCCTCTTGTCCTCCTCTTCTAGAACACTCACCAGTCTGGACGCTTGGGGGAGGAGGCCGTTGGGAAAGGGGCTGGCGGTGCCCTTCTGACCCCCAAGACTGAGCCTGAGGAGCTAGCCGTGTCTCGGGCGGAGGCCGCCCCTGCCACTGAGGAATCCTCCTCCTCCGGGGAGGAGCTGCCCAGCTCCCCTGAGCCTCCTCGCCCCACCAAACGCCCCCGACGGGACCTGGGGAGCAAAGGCACCAAAGGTGGGGGTGGGGGGGCTGGGGGCTGGACCTGCGGCCTGTGTCACTCCTGGTTTCCTGAGCGGGATGAGTATGTGACCCACATGAAGAAGGAGCATGGCAAGGTGAGCTGGGTTTCTCTGGAGAGGCAGGCTGAGGGTAGCCCTGGGGTTGACCTGGGAGTGAATTTCCCACCCTTGCTCTCTAGTCCGTGAAAAAGTTCCCCTGTCGCCTGTGTGAGCGCTCCTTCTGCTCGGCCCCAAGCCTGAGGCGCCATGTCAGGGTCAACCATGAGGGAATCAAGAGAGTTTACCCATGCAGGTAACCCTTACTCCTCACCCCTCTTCCTCCCTGGTAGATGAACCTTGCTCCCAGGGCACTGCTCACCCGCTTCCTGCTTGCGGGATCCGGAGGCTGAGGCCTCCCTCTGCTCGGGTCTGGGTCTCTGGTGCCACCTGACCGCCCCTCCCTCTGCTAGGTACTGCACAGAGGGGAAGCGCACCTTCAGCAGTCGCCTGATCCTGGAGAAGCACGTCCAAGTCCGCCATGGCTTGCCCCTTGGCACCCAGTCCCCTTCCGGCAGAGGAGGCACCCTGGTGCGAGGCTCTGGTGGCAGAGCCCAGGTAAGAAGAGGCCCCCCTTGTGTTACGTCACGGGCGTGAGAAACCAGTGAGACCCTGGTCTCAGGAGGCTGGCCAGGGCGATGGTGAGGCCCAGTTTCTTCCACTTCTCTCCAGGGCCCAGGACGGAAACGCCGCCAGTCTTCTGACTCATGCAGTGAGGAGCCTGACAGTACAACACCGCCAGCCAAGTCCCTGCGGGGTGGCCCTGGGTCAGCAGGCCACGGACCTCTGCGCTGTCGGAGCGGCGGCTCAGCGGATCCGAGTGCCGTGCTGAGGGTGGATGGAGGCACGCAGCAGTGCCTCGACTGTGGCTTGTGCTTCGCCTCCCCCGGCTCCTTGAGCCGCCACCGGTTCATCAGTCACAAGAAGAAACGGGCGGGGGGTAAAGCCAGTGCCCTGGGGGTGGGGGATGGGGAGGAAGAGGCTCCTCCATTTCGCTCTGACCCAGAGGGTGGAGATTCACCTTCGCCTGCTTCTGGAGGCCCTCTGACTTGTAAGGTCTGTGGCAAGAGCTGTGATAGCCCTCTGAATCTCAAGACCCATTTCCGCACGCACGGTATGGCATTCATCAGGGCCCGGCAGGGAGGCTGTGGGGACAGCTAGGTCCCAGGCCTGGGACTGACTAGTCCTCTCCTGGAACTTGGGTCTCACTGCTGCTGTCACCTCCCTGAGCTGGAAGTGTAACATTTAGTTTGATTCTTCTCTTTCTGCCCGAGAGGAAGGCTTTTGAGGATTCTAGTAACTTGCACTCCCCTCCCTCTTGGGTTTGGTCCCTGGGTCCTACTTAAGTGGGCTCTCCTTTCTTCTTTCTGAATCCAACACTAATGTTCCTGCTGCAGACCCCCAGTGTGTAACTGGGTGGGGGGACAGGACCTCGGGAAGCCTGCTAGACAGAGGCACAGGGGAGACTGAAGGATGGACGGGGTCCAGCTTCTACCCCTCTGCTCGGTTTCCTCTGTGCCGGGTTCTGCCCTAGCGTCCCCTCCTTAACACTCATCGGCACTAACACCCCGCCCCGTCCCTGCAGTGCCTTCCACTGGTCTTTCCCCCAGAAATCTAGGGGTGGGGGGTTGGTGGGGATGAGTCCTGTCAAGTGGGGTCCAGGGAGAGAAGACAGGCTCTCAGGAATCCTTTATTCTTGTAGTAATACTAACAGTGGGAGGAACGAGGGAGGAAACCAGCCATTAAAACTGCTTGTGGTTCAATCCCCATTCAGGCTTTTCTTTTTATGTGAGTTGGACACTGTGTACTGAGGGGGGGGGGGTGAGTCAGAACTGGGGAAGCCCTTCTCAGGGACTCGGGGAAGAGGCAGTATTGACCAGACAGACGGAAAGAGTAATCTTCCTCTTGTGTGTGTGGTACCTTTTGTATGCTGGATTTAGCCCCTTCTACCCACCCCCACCCCCAGAATCAACTCAGACAAGACACAGATGGCTAACTAAGGACTTTATTTCAAACAAAAATTAAAAATAAAAAAATTGAGAGCTGTTTCCCTGGGTGTGAGGAAAGGATCAGGGTAAGAAATTCCCCATGGCTAGGCCAATACCCTCAATATATTAGAGGGATTGTGGCAATTCCCTTCCTTAACCCCATGATGGGGAACCTCAGCAAGTGCAGGACCCTATGGCAGAGCCCACCTGCCAGGGGGAATGTGGGCTGGGGTCAGCCCTGGGAGGGACGGAGTTGGGCAGCAGCGTGGTCAAACATAGGATCACATCCTAGGTACCAGGGACCCACTCCTCCTCCCATCTTGCTTGACCCAGGGAAAACACGCCAGTTTGTAGAAAGAACCTCTGAGACTCTGGGGAGGGAAGAAGGCCCCCCATCCTCCTCATGTTCGTGGTCATCTCCTCTGAGGGCAGTGAGTCCTGGAGTCTGTCAGGTGGTAATACTGACAGTAGGAGGTGGGGAGCCCCAGCAAGTCTGGACCCCACGGCTGGCTCTCCTACCCTCTGGCAAGCTCTCATGGTTACCACATGATCCTTTGTATTTCTTGCCTTCCATTTCCCTTGGGTAGGTGGTTAGGTAGGTAGGGTTTTGTGATTTGGGGTTTCTTAGGCAGTCCTCCTAGGGAGGGTGCCTTCAGTCCCACCACTTCTGGGCCTGAGAAGGGTGTCACATGATGCCATTGGTGAGGTACTGGAAGCCGTCGTAGAGTTTGGTGGTGATGGACCTCATGCTGCCATCCACCATCTGCTCCACCAGCAGCTGGAGCTGCTCCTCGGTCATGCTCATGTGGAACCTCTCTTTGAGGTTGCGAATGGTACTGGAGCCGTGGAAGCAGGGAAGCTGAGAACCTGGGGGAGGCAGTGCAGTTAAGTCTCTGGACAGTTAGGAGGGCAGGCTAGTAGTAACCAAGGGAACAGCGCTGGAGGTGGTGTATAAAGTACTCCTTCCCTCCCACCGCAGGGGTCCCTGGTGGTGTACAGCAACTCTGCTTGTGCCGAGCAAAGCAAAGGGAGGCCTTCAGTCCATCCGCATCCCATATTCCTTAGTTCTCTATGTGCAAGTATGTGGGGAGAACAGGGGAAAGCAAGCCCACAGGATCCCCCAGTAAGCATTACAGGGAAGTCTTGGGGCCCGGAGGGGAGGCTGGGGAAAGACTCTGGGAATGGGCCCTGCACTTATCTGGTTGCAGGCCTCTGCCTATGCTAGGTCTGACACTCACAGATGACCTGGGCCACCGTCACCACGGGGCCAGAGAGAGATGCTCCTGAGCAACGGCGGCAACCTGTGGGGTACGGGCAAGGATGGGGAGGAGACTGGCAGCTTAGGTGGGGTCTGGAAGTTTTTTTTTTCCAGGGGTCAGGGGATAAGAGGAAGCCCAGAGGAATTGGGAGTGGGGGAGTCCTGTGCAATGACTGAGGGACTGGGAAGGCAGCAGAGTGAAAGGTAAAGGATGAGAGGCAGAAGAACTCTCAGTTCAGAGCAGGGTGGGTGAGGAGGAAAAGGAAGGTGGCTTGAAGTGATGGCCGAGGCCAGGGCAGTCAGGTCAAGTGTGGTGGGAAAAGTGGGTAGAAGCACTAGAATTAGCAGAGGAGGAGCCTGGGAAGACCAGGAGGCTGAAGATGGGTGTTTTCCCCATGAGGGTACCTAAGAGCTTCCTGTTGTTCCTTTCCTCTTGTACCCCCCCCCCAGTGAAGAAGAGTGTTCTAAAGGGGAAATGGAACCCCCCTGAGAAGCCCCCAACCTGAGTCTTGAGGTGGGCTCAACCTCCTAAAAGTTCTAAGTTCAGGCAATTCAACCTGAGGCAGCCCAGCCCCTGGCCCCGCCGCACCTTGCTGCATGATCTCCACAATCTGCACCACCTTGTCCATATGCTTCCGAGCAGCGATCAGCCCTTGCAGCATGAGCATCTTGTAGTAGTTGAACATGTCGCCGTTCAGGCCGCCCATTACCTGAAAGTGAGTCGAGAGTGTGCACAGGAATTCTGGTGGGCCTCCCAGACCTTCCTTAAGACAACCATGGTAGATTTCACTATTATCACAAGAAAGCTCCCAGGAAATCCTGCCTCAAACTGACTTACTGCCATTTCTGTTCTGTTCCTTCCTGACTTGGGGGAGCCCATCTGCCCTTCCTCTCAGGAAGGGCACAGTGACCCGGAAGCACCTCTTTTTTGACTCACATCCACAAACTCGGTGGTCAGCTTAAAGGCTGACGTCTCGAAGCCCAGGTTTCGGGGTGAGCTGGAGAGGATGAAGCCGAAGTCGATGTGGATGATGTGACCTTCTGCGTCCAGAAGGATGTTCCCGTTGTGTCTGAGGAAGGGAGGAGGAGGAGGCGACAGTAAGTCTGGCTTAGGTAGCTCTCAAGCCGCAACACTGGCCTCACCACCATACGGGACAGGGGAGGCCCCAGCCATGTTTCCTGTTGCTTACAAGTCTGGGTCAGTTTCCTAGGATCTAAAATAAAGCTAGCAACAAAAAGGAAGTCAGAAAACTACAAAGAAAAACTGGGTACGAAATTCAATTATCAGCTTAATAAAAATAGTTTAAAGATTATCAGAGAGCTGAGCATGTAGCTTTGTTGGTAGAGTGCTTGCCTATCATGCAGGAAGTCGTGGTTCCTAGCTTTGTCCCTAACACAACATAAGCTGAATGTGAATAAAGGCACTTGCCTGTAATTCCAGCACTTAGGAGGTGGGGGATGGAGGAGTCATCCTCAAATACAAAGAGTTTGAGGCCAGACTGCAATACATGCTAATTTCCCAAAAATTATACTTCTAGTACCCAAACTTGAGCTTGACTTAGTAGTAAACACAGATGTCTCCAGTAGCTAGCTGTCTAAATAGGGGGAAGCCCTCATTCAGCATCAATTGACCTGTTTTATTTTTTTTGAGACAGGGTCTCACTATGCAGCCCCAGCTGGTCTGGTACTCACTAGGTAGACCAAATTGGCCTCAAACTACAGAGTCACCTGCTTGGCCTCTTGAGTGCTGGGATTATTTTAATTTTTAATCACGCCACTGTAGAACCAAAGCCCTGTCAGTAAGGAACACCAATGAGAAGCAAGCAGACTGAGTACAACTTATTTTGTGTTTGTGTGTATCCATGTTCATGTGGATGTACACTCATGTGGAGGCCAGAGGTCAACCTTAGAAGCCATCTACCTTTTGAGAGACGGGGTCTTACTACGTAGCCCTGCCTGGCTGGCCTGTACTCACTAAACTGACCTCAGACTTTTTAGAGATCCATCTGCCTCTGCATCCTAAATACTGGATTCCTAGAGCAGCTTGCCCAGGGAATCCTTTGGTTCTGCTTGTGCTGTCACACCTGGCTTTTCAATGTGGGTTCTGGGGACTGAACTCAGGTCCTCTTGATTTTAGAGCAATAACTAATAACTTTATGGACTGAACTATATCTCCCCAGTGGCCCCCCGCCCCCTTTTTTTTTGAGAACTGTTACACTGCAGCCTAGGCTGGTCTGGAACTTATTGTGGCCCAAGTCAGCCTCAAACTCATGGCAGTCCTGCCTCAGCATCGCAAGTGAGCCATCAAGTTTGGCTGAGAAGAGTTTAAGTATGCAACAACAATGTGGGGCAGATCACTTACATAAAGAACCTTAGAGTTTAAGTATGCAACAACAATGTGGGGCAGATCACTTACATAAAGAACCTTAGAAGTATACTACAGGCCAGCTGTAGGGAAGAAGAGTCAAGAGGGGTAAATCCCAGGTCTCTGTGAGTCCCACATGAATGGCTAGGAAGGACAATGAACATGCTAAGCATGTGAGGCCTGGCCTATTGTGCATGACCGGCCTCTCACTCTCAATAGGAGCTTTGTTAGGCTGAGCACTCATGCCCCATCTGAGGGCCATCTTGTCTGAGATGGTCAGGCTGGCTCAGAGAGGAGGGCTGCACAGAGCAAGACCCACCTGAGTCCCTCCGGCTGTGGGAAGCACTGACCAAGTAGCCTGCCCACAGTCTAGAGAGCCAGAGCAAACAGATGGCCCCGGCCCCGGCCCCAGCCCCCAATGTCCCGAAGCCAGGAATAGGCAGTTTCTCTCCTTCTCTTAACTACCAGGGGTGGCTTCCGCCTGGGAAGCTGCCTTAGGGCTCCTTGTTAAATGAAGGGTTTTTGTTTTGTTTTTAATTGTTCTAATTTTCTGTTTTCTTATGTCTTGACAGTGACATTTTTGGGGATAAATTAAAAAATGCTTTCATATTTCACCTTTTAAAACTCAGAACAACAAATTCCACTTATTGGAAGTTCATGCTGTTAGAAATCCCCGAAGCACACTTAATAAAAGGAGGTAAGTTTCTTGGTTGTACCAGTGCAATGGACATGCTCTTTTCAGTTCCCCTAGTGATGGTTTTGTCAAATTTCCCTCCAGACCTACTAAGATAAATGCAGGAATAACAGAGGGAACATTTCCTACAAATAAAAGGAGGAAGTGAATCTTAACAAAAAATATATGAAAATTATTATTTTGGCCCAAATAGGTCCCACCGTTGTTGAGCTAACTTTCCCCTGATAGGCAGAGAGACCCATAACTGCACCAGTACCGAAAGCTGGTTACCTCTTTGTAGCCTCAGCTATGAATGAGAAAAACTTTCCATATTCAAACTAGAAATATGGAATGTGACATGAAAAATAAGTCCATATGCCTTTGCTGTTTTTTGTTTTTTATTCTGAGACAGTCTCATTATCCAAGCTGGTTTGGAACATGAGGATGACCTTGAACTTTTGACCTTCCTTCTGCTATCTCCCAAGTGTGTGCCAGTATGCCTGGTTTTATGGGATGCTGGAGACTGAACCCTGGTCTTTATGTATTTTAGATAAACTCTACCCATTGAGCTACATTCTCAGTCTTCCCCAGCCCATCCCCCTTTTTAAAAAGCAATGTTGGGGAGATGGCTCAGCAGTAAAGAGCACTGGCTGCTCTTCCAAAGGACCAAGGTTGGATTCCCAGCACCCATGTGGCAGCTCACTGTAACTACAGTTCCAGGGTATCTGACACCCTCTTCTGGCCTTTGTGGACACCTGGTATGAACATGGTGTGCAGTCATACTTGCAGGCAAAACACGCATAAAATAAAAATGTAATAAAAAATAAGCTCTGGCAAATTCTATTAAAGAAAAAATTTGAACGGCTTACTCTTCCTGGGCTTGTTCTGGCAGGCTTGTATTGATATTAAAAATCACCTGATTGATGACATGCATACTCTGTAGCATATTCTGCATGCTATGCCCAGATATCATTGCCACTGTAGTGATAGACGAGTTTTGGCTACCATGGCACAGTCCTCTATTTCAGACTTGCTTAAAGCAGGATAGTTGTTGGTGAGGATGACCAATTTTTGCTTTGCCTTGTGTTATCATGTTAAATATGTGTGATTTTTTTGTTTGTTTCTCTCTGTAACAGCTCTGGATGTCCTAAAACTCACTCTGAGGACCAGGCTGGCCTTGAACTCACAGAGATCTGCTTGCCTCCGCCTCCGGACTCCTGGGATTAAAGGCGTGCGACACTGCCACTTGGTGAGTGTGTGTGATTTTATAACAAGTTGGAGCCTAGGCCTACAGCTGATCAACACCAACAACTTTCTTTTCTTTATAGCCTCCATCTTGTGAGATGATTCCCAGTATTCTTTTCTTTTCTTTTTTAAAAAATTCCCTATGTAGCTAGGATGATCTTGAACTTCCTGCCTGTACCTCCCAGTGTTAATGTGTTAAATGAGAGATCAAACCCAGAGCATCATGCATGCTAAGCAGAGTATTCTTCAACCTGAGCTACAACACCAACTCACATCCACTCTTTTTTAATAGGAATAGTTCACCAGGGGCTGGAGAGATGGCTCAGGGGTTAAGAGCACTGGTTGTTCTTCCAGAGGACCCAGTTCAATTCCCAGCACCCACAGAGTGGTTACCAACCATCTGTAACTCTGTTCTCAAGGGACAGACGCTGTCTGGCTCTGCTGGGCACACTGCAGCTGGAGCACAGACACACATGCAGGTAAACCTCGTCCATCGGGGAAAACGGTTAGCAACTTCCTGCCATACCAGAGGGACAGGCTTTTATCCAACACTTTCTTTTGGTAGTGTTATTTATTATCTGTTTTATTATTTTTACATATCAGTTTCTAAAATGAAATTCCTGAGATCTAACTAGTGCTAGCTTCCCTGTTCCTCACTTACTCAATCCTGTAGCTGAGCCCTGGGCTTCAAAATCCTGGGTTCAAAATCCCGAAGCTCAGGACAGTCTAAAGCTTGCCATCAAGATCCTTATGGTTACACTCTTACCGCTCTCTCTCACACACACAGCCCTTCTTGCTTGGTAGGCCTGGCAGGGTGGAATGACCATGGGCTCCCAAAGCTGCTACTGACCCTTGGCTTCCTCATGAGGGAGCACTCACTTCACACGGTTTTCACTTACTATAGTGATGCCATGGTCATAGGTGGTATACAGTCACTAAAGAGATAATGCTAGATTCCGAGAAGCTGCTTGCCTGACTAATGTTAATGGGTTGCCATGTCACTGGAAGCCCTGGAAGCAGAGGCTGTCACATTTCTAAAATTAATTTTTTTAGTGTTCCCATGTGTGTATGGTTGTATGTGTGCACATGCTCCAGAACATGTCAGGGTGCACGTGTGGAGGCTAGGTGACAGCTCTGGAGTTGGTTCCAGTGACTGAGCAACAGCTTCAACCACTAAGCCAACCTGCCAGGGAGAGCTGCAGCCAACAGGAACATTCAGGCCCCAGACCCCAAACCGCCTGCCTGGAGATACTAAGACTGCAGAGCACAGGCAGTGCCGTTATCAAGGCTTCACCTATGTGAAGACGGGCTTCATGAAAGTCATCTGAGAGTGACAGAATGACAGTCTCTGCAGAACAAAAGATGCGTAAGACTGTGGAAACCAGGGACTGGGGAGATGACTCACTGTTAAGGGCACTGGGCTCCTCCAGAGGAGGAGTTACTTTTTAGCACTCATGAAGGCTTACAGCTACCTGTAACTCCAGTCCCAGAGGATCCCATGCTCTCCTATGGCCTCCACTGGCACTAGGCATACACAGACATGCAGGAAAAACACCCATGCACATAAAAAACAGAAGTTTGAGAAATCAGGTTGGAATGAGAAGAGAGGAAAGCTTGTGACTGGGGATTTCAAGTTTATCTCCATGGTCTCCCTCATCCTTTCCTTTGTGTTTTGAGTCACTGACTACCTTTGTGCCAGGCTCCATTATCTTCTGCTTTCTTGTTAAGGATGTAGTCACACTAACCTTCAATTCACCCACAGCACCATATGGCATCTACAGATCAGAACATATCATTCCTATCCTGCAAAATAAAATTCTTGCTGATTGTGGTAGCAAAGGCCTTTAATCCCAACACTCAGGAGGCAGAGGCAGGAAGATCTCTGTGAGCTCAAGACCAGCTTGGTTTACATATCAAGTTCCAGGACAGTCAGGGATACATAAAATGACCCTTTCTCAAAAAACAAAAACAAAACCCCCAAAACTCTTCAGTCTCATAATGAAGGACTGGTGTCACTGCCTGCTCCCCGAGGTTTGATCCCAATGAAACGTTTCCTCATCTTTCCTCCACAGCTCTAGCTGCCCTTGTTCTCCCTCACCCTTTTTCTGCTCATTCAAGTCTTCCCTACGTCCTCTGTTTCCGCCCTCATCTCCGCCAGCACTCATCATTTGGCTTAGTGTCACACAAACAAATCTTTCCTAAAAAGACCTTGTTTCACCAACTGAGGAACTACATGTGAAGGGACAGAGAAGACCCTTGTGAAAGATTAGGATGAAGGGCACAAGCCACTTACCTGTCCTTGACTTGCAGAAGGTAGCAGACCAAACAGTAGCCAGCACAACTTTGCACAAAGTTGCGCTGGGCACTGAGGAATGCCTCAGTGGTATAACTGCCATGTTCCTGTAGGAAGTAATCGAGCAAGGAGAGCTGTGACTGTTTCTTCACCTGGTGGATGGACACAGCGTTGACTACTGGTTCAATCATGCCGCTGTCTGCTGAGATCACAAGAATCTTATATGGCTTGATCCAGAGAGGCACCCGCTCCTGCTCCCAGATGGACTGTGAAGAGACACAAAGGATCCAGAGTGGCTCATCTATCTCCAGAGAATAATAAAATTTCTTTCCCCTCAACCTCTCCCTTGGTATCTTGAAGAGCATTAAGCAAGACTCACTGACCTACTAAGAACCAGGAAGTTTTTTGAGACAGGGACTCATATAGCCCAGGCTAGACTTGACTTCCTGATCCCCATCTCTACACATTCTAGGATTACAGGTGTATACAACCACAAACAACAGAACCAGGGAGTCTGAAAAGGAAGGACAGGGCCTGGCAAAGGGGAGAAACTATACATAGAGGTTAACGTAAGTTTGAACAACAACAACAACAAAATTGGAGTTTTAGGGGCAGAGAAAGCATCTCTAGAAAATGAAAATATGGAGCTGGAGAGATGGCTCAGTGGTTGAGAGCACTGCCTGCTCTTCCAGAGGACCTGGGTTCAATTCCCAGCACCCACATGGCAGCTCACACCTGTCTGTAACTCCAGTTCCAGAGCTTCTAACACCCCCACACAGCCATGCATGCAGGCAAAATGCCAGTGCACATAAAATAAGATTATAAAAATGAAAATACTACTGGATGTAGTGGCCTAAGCCTGTATTTCCAATATGTGGAAGGCAGAGGCAGGAGGATCAGGAGTTTGAGGCCAATGTTTAATAAAAGTGAGAGTCAGAGGTCAACCTGAGCTACATGAGATCCTGTCTCAAAAACAAAACAAAAAATTCAAGCACTTAAGCCATGTGCCACATACTGTAACCCACATACTGTAACCCTGGTATTGGGAAGCTGAGGGAGGAGGTAGTGGGCTGTGGTACGAGGACAGCTGACATTGGCTGAGAGTACAGAGGGTACAAAGCAAGTAACATCTGGCTGAGGCTGTGAGTGAGATCCTTTCTAAAAACAAAACCAAAAACCAGGACAAAGTTCAAGCCACCTCTACCCCTCAAAAAACCTACAAACAAGCCTGTCAGTGTTGGTGCACACCTTTAATCCCAGCACTTGGGAGGCAGAGGCAGGTGGATCTCTGAATTTGAGGCCAGCCTGGTCTACACAGCAAGTTCCAGGACAGCCAAGGCTACACAGATAACTCTTGTCTTGAAAAACCAAAAAAAAAAAAAGAAAAGAAAAAAAAAAAAATCAAACTCACACCCCCGCCCCAACCAACCAACCAAAAACTACAAATGTTACAAAGCACTGAATTGCACAGGTGAAGCCTCTTGCAGGTCACCAACCCAGGGAGACCAGGTGATCAGTCTCTCAACACAGTACAGCCAGGCCCAGCAGTTCACACCTGTAATCCTATTACTCAAGCGGAGGTATGAGGATTGTCATGAATTCAAGGCCAGCCTGGACTACATAATGAGTTCCAGGTAAATCTCAACTACAGAGTGAGACCATGTCTCAAAAAGACAGAGCAGAGCCGGGTGGTGGTGGTGGTGGTGGTGGCGGTGGCGGCGGCGGCGGCGGCGGCGGCGGCGCACGCCTTTAATCCCAGCACTCGGGAGGCAGAGCCAGGCGGATCTCCGTGAGTTCGAGGCCAGTCT